TTTTTTTTTTAGTTGCAAAGACCTGTTGTAAAAATGATAATTCAGAGGGCAAAACCCAGAAGTCTGAGCACACGGGCTTTGTTTTTGTTTGTCTTCCAGCTTTACTGAGATACAACCGATGAATTACTGAGATATAACTGATGAATAAAAGTTGCCTGTATTCACTGTGTGCAGTGTGATGGTCTGATGCATGCACACATACACACACACACACACACACACACACACACACACTGTGAAATGATGCCCACGGTCAAGCTCTGGAAGGCACCCATCACCTCACATAGTTACCATCTCATGTGGGTTAAAGTACTTACGGTCTACTCTCCTACCAAATTTCAAGTGTCACGACCCAGTTAACCTCGGATCCCCAGAACGGAACGGAAACTTTGTGCCCTTGGCCAACGTCCCCCTGCTTCACCCTCCCCCCCGCCCGTCAACCACTCTTCGACTCTCTGCTTCCACGCTTTAGGATTCTACCTATAAATGAGATCATACAGTATTTGTCTCTCTGTGTCCGATATATTTTACTTCACACAATGCCCTCCAGGTTCGTCCATGTTGTCGAAAGTGGAAGGGATTCCCTTTTCTTTAAGGATTTAACTTCCAAGAGTGCCAAGGTGAAGAGCGTCTAGCCCACGGCAGTACACAGTAGGCCTCCAATCAGGGGGTGTGTATATGAAGTTCTAGAACAGGCAAAACTAATGTAATGGAAAGGCGATCAGGGGTGTGGTTGCCGGAAGGATAACTACACAGGGCACAAGGACCTTCCTGGGTGACGGAAGTGTTCTCTGCTTTACTGAGTGGCGGTTACATGATGGCCTGTGTTTGTCAAAACCCATCAATATATATATCCTACACGTGTGTTTAAACTAACCATCAGTAAAGTTAATACAAAAAAAAAAAAAAAAAAAAAAAAAAAAAAAAAAAAAAAAAAAAAAAAAAAAAAGCTCAGTCCGGGATGTCATTTATGACCCATCAGAATGTCAAAAATGGAAAAAAACCATAACACCCAGTGCTGGCAAGGTTGAGGGGAAAGCTGATACCTCCCAGCCTTGTGGACAAGTGTAAACTGGCCCAGCCACTTTTGGAGGCAGTTTGGCTGCGTGCATCTTGAGACTAAAATGTTTAATTATCCAGTCTTTTAACCTAGTGTTTCTACCTGGGGGCCCACTTGTCTTGCAAACACCAAAGACCTGGAAGTGGCCCAAGACCTCAACTAAGAACTAGTTTAAAGTTTAACATCCAGCAGTTAGAAGGTGGACTGAACATGGCAATTATCAAAACTTCTCCAAGGCCAGGGGCGTCTGGGTGGCTCAGTCAGTTAAACGTCCGACTTCAGCTCAGGTCACGATCTCGCAGGCTCCGTGCTGACAGCTCAGAGCCTGGAGCTAACCCTAACCCTAACCCCTAACCCCTAACCCCTAACCCTAACCCTAACTTTTTAAAACAAACTTTTTAGGGCAGTGAAACTCTTCTGTATAATACTATAAAGGCGGATACGCATCATCGTGCATTCACCAAAATCCGTACGACCATAATTTTCAGACTGAACTTGAATGTAGGCTAAGGACTTCGGTTGACAGTAACATACGGATATTGCTAGATCAACTGTTAACAAATGCACCACACCAATGCAACATGTTTATAATAGGAGAAAGGAGTGGGAAGGTATATTGGAATGCTCTGTAATAGCCACTCAATTTATCGGTAAACCTAAAGCTTTTCTAAAAAATAAAGACTTCCAGGGGCGCCTGGGTGGCGCAGTCGGTTAAGCGTCCGACTTCAGCCAGGTCACGATCTCGCGGTCTGTGAGTTCGAGCCCCGCGTCAGGCTCTGGGCTGATGGCTCAGAACCTGGAGCCTGTTTCCGATTCTGTGTCTCCCTCTGTCTCTAACCCCTCCCCCGTTCATGCTCTGTCTCTCTCTGTCCCAAAAATAAATAAACGTTGAAAAAAAAAAATAAAAAAAAATAATAATAAATAAATAAAAAAAACATAAAGACTTCCCAACAGGTGCCATCCTCAATAAATTATATTTAATATAAATAAACAAATTAAATAAATAAAATAAAAATAATAAAAAATAAAGACTTAACCAAAAAAAAAGGTTCATACATACACATTATAAAGGCATCCAAAAAAATCTAGACGATCCAAACCAAAGTGGCAACAGGTGTCCTTTTAGGAGGGGTCTGGAATTTGGGAGAAGGGTTTCACGGGAGAGATGTATTTCTTCACCTACATTGCTAGAATTTGTGTCCGCACAAATGTATTCACATGTTACTAGCATAATACAAATCAGTTAAAGCAAATGGAAAAATAAAGTATATTTCAGTCTCGGAAAAAACATAACCAAATAGTCTCCGAAATGATCTCCCAGGGGTCGTGCGGCATTCAAAGTGATTGTGATTCTATGTGAATGTTTTATTGTATTTTCCAATTTTCTGTAACATGTGTATAACTTATGTAGGTTTTTGTTTAAGTAAACTCTGCTCCCAGCGTGGGGCTCGAACTCACGACCCTGAGATCAAGCGTCGCAGGCTCTCCTGACTGAGCCAGCCAGGCGTCCCCTTACGTAGGTTTTTTAAAAAGACATTACAGTGTTCACAGATCTACAGCAACGGAAAGGAGAGACCTATGGCCGCAGGTGACAACATGGACGAGCCCGACAGGCATCACGCTAAGCGGGAGAATTCAGACACAGGCGAGCACATGCCGCGTGTTTCCACTCGCGTGACGTTCGAGATCAGGCAAACCTCGTCTATGCTGTAAGAATCAGATGGAGCTTATGCTGCGGTGAGGCCAAATGTGGGTGCTGCACCCAGGGCCGTTCAAGCCGCAAACATCCCAGCTCTACACAAATGACACGCACACTTCTCTGTATACGTGTCAGTCAATTCAGACATTTACTTGAAATTAACGGGCATTAGGTTGTTTCCAAACCATTATGGTAGTTGACATCCTGGTACCCGGGCTCTGTGCAGGAAGTCGCAATGTTTCTCTAGGGACAGACCCGAGCCAAGAACTGCTGGACCATGGGAGAGACAGATTTTGAATCTTATTAGAGGCCGGCTGGGCTCGTCTTCAAAGAGGCAGCACCAAGCCCCAGTCCCGTAAGCAGAGGAGGGGGGTGTATGTTTCCCCACCGCCTCGCCACCTCCTGGCAACATTTGATTTTTAAGGGTCGCCAAGAGGGAGGCACTGCGAACATGTGACAGTGGCTACCTCGGGTGGGGGGGGGGGTTGCGGCGCTGGGGCCGGGGATTGGTGGGAGGGGAGCCACTCTGGGGCACTTGGGCCTTAGTTGCAAAGTTTTCACATTGGACAGGAAGAACGTACTCGCACGCTCCTCACGCAGCTGAGCATTTGCGCAAATGGCCGTCATTCTTCCTGATCTCGCACCCATACCGTCTGCAGTGGGACCCTCCAATTCCTCACCTCAGACAGCAGGCTCTGCTTCCCCACCTCTCATATCTGAGCGGGTCACTTGACTTGCTTTGAGCAACGGTTTCAATCGGCCTTCAAGAGGCCTTCCACGCTTCCCTGCCCAGATGTCACACGAAGGAGCCTGCGCCGGCCCGGCCGCCCGAACACCCAGCTGACGGCCAAGCCCCAGACGGGCAAATGCGGCCGTCCCACCTCCGCTGACCGCAGAAGCGTCAGGGACCCGGCCACCATCACCCAGGCCTGCCTGGCCCCGGATGACAAAACCACCCGGCTGACCCACGAGCACAAGTAAATGGCTGGGTCCCAAGCTTTGGTTGTTTTACACTGGGGTTGACTTGTTACGCAGCAACAGGTGACTGACACACCTTGTAAAGTACGAACTAAAAAGAAACAGACGTGTTAAAAATGAGACGAACTCTGAGGGCGGCCCCGCGGCGTGCGTGGGGCCGAGGCCCGCACCTTCCGCCCACCCTCCAGCCCGCCCCGCGCGCCCACACGCGCCCACGCGCACAGATACACCCGCATCCACCCACCTTGGGGGTCTTCCCGGAACTGGAACCAATACTTCTTGATGATGCGCAGCATGTTCTGGTAGGAGCTCCAGGTGTTGTGGGCGATCAGGAGGTCACTCTGGCCAGGCAACAGCTTGATGAGGGCGGAGCACGAACCAGAGCCCATGACGTGCTTGCTCTTGGTCTTGTTCAGGGCTGGCTCTAGGTCTCCCAGGTCCCCAGCAAGCTGCAACAGGCTGGGCAGGGCCGGGCACCAGAGGGTCACCGTGCCTGCCGGGAGTGCACTTACACACCCCTTTCCCAGAGGAGGAAGCTGAGGCTCTGGAAGGTGAGCTGAGCGGTCCGAGGCCGGGCCAGGCAGCGGCAGAATGGGCACTGGAACCCAGGTCTGTCTGACTATAAGGCGCGGGGCCCTTTCCCCTACCCTGTCCACTCCGGGGGTGGCACTTACAGGAACCCCAAGGGTTTGATGGTGAACCTCCCAGTCGGAAAGGTCACACTGCTTTCATAGCTGTCCTCCAGACCCTTCAGCTGCAGGAGGGTCAGCCGCACCTGAGGGAGGGGCAGAGGGAGGGTGAGGCGGTGGGAGGGGCTCTGGTCTGGGGATCCAGACAGAGCAGGAGCGGCCCAGGTGCACCCTCATGGCTCCAGCCAGCCCTGACCCCCCTCTTACCCAGCACCCACCCTTCCTGCCATTACTTACTTAATTATATGTCTCTTCCCTGCGCCAACCTAAATCACTCCCACTTAAGAGCCCAGTTCAAAGCCACCTCCTCCAGGAAGCCTCCCAGCCAGCCCTGACCCATTGTCAACTGCTCCCAATTCTGAGTTTAGCTACTGGCTGCGCTGCTGCCTCAGGGCATGTGTCTTGTAACTGACTTCTCCCCATTGTCACTGTCACTGTTCTATAACCAGGGAGATCATCACTGTGTCCCCCGTAGGGCCTTGACCACGCACCTAGCATCTGTAAGATGGATGGACAGATGGGCAAAAGGCTAAGCTACACAGACAGACAGGCAGGCAGGACTGAAAGATGGATGGGTGGCCACTAAGTTATGTAGAAGGAAAGGAAAGAGAAGCAATCGTCCAGATGGATGGCAGGGTGGACAGAAGGACAGATGTCTAATCAGGTGCATAGACTGGATAGGCAGACAGGACAAGACAGACCCCTTCCTTCATCTATAAATATTCAACAATCCCTTACATATAAAGCACCCACTATGTGCCGGCCCTTGTGCTGGGCACTGGGAGTATTTTGGTGAACAAAGTAGATGTGATCCCTGCCTGTCCTCACGGGCAGTGGAAGACAGACTCTGAGTCCCTCACTAGAGCACCACAGGGAAGTGTGAGGACCGGACAGAGGTGAGGGGTGGGGGGCGAGCCAGGCAGAGGAAGTGCTCTTGGCAGAAGGAGCAGCGGGCCACAAGCCCTGAGGGAAGAGGAGGGTTCAAGGAACCAGGAGGTCAGGGAGGCTGGAGCACAGAGCGTGGTCAGCAAGAGACGAAGCTGGGGACAGAGAAGGTGCAAAAGGTGTGTGGGCATGATCCCCAGGGAACAGGGCAGCCCCTGGCAAGATTTAAGATGGGGAGAGAGGGCAGGCATGAAGGAGCTACAGATGGACAGACTCACACTGACAGGTGCTTCAAGGACCGATGGCCAGGGAGAAGGTGAGGAATAAAGCAGACAGGGTGGCTGGTCAGACAGACAGCTGGGCAAGTGAATGGGAGGGGGCGTAGGGGGGAAGTGTGCAGATGGGTAGACGGTGCACAGGGACACAGACAGACAACCCAATGGGGCACATCAATGGCGGGAAGGGTGGGGCTATAATGGGTGGGGGTAACAGATGGGTGACAGGAAGAGAGTGAAAGATGGGATAAGCTGGTGGGTGGTAAATGTGTGGACAAACTAGACATACAGAGGGCGGGGTGGGAGGGAAGGATGAATGGAAGATGGACAGATGGGTAGACAGGTGAAAGGGAGAGAAGGAAGGATTGAGGGAAAAGGAAGACAGAAGGTAGGGAGGGAAGTATGGCGGGAGGGAAGACTGGATGGCTGGATGGAGAAGTGGCTGGGTGGGTGGGTAGATGGGTGGATGGATGGATGGGCAGGTGGATGGATAAACGGATGGGTGGGTGGGTAGGTGGGTGGGGAGATGGCTGGGAGGGAGGGATAGAGGGAAAGGGAAGAAGCGAGGGAAAGAGGGAAGACTGGATGGATGGACAGACAAATGGAGGAATGGACGGGTGGCTGGAGAGGGAGGGAAGGAAAGAGGAAGGCCTGACTGATGGAGGGAAGGATGAAGGAGAGAGTGAGGGGAAAGGGCCGGCGAAGAGGGGTGGGAGGCCGGCGGTCAGAGCAACAGCACCCACAGCAGAGTCAGGTCCCCAAAGCAGCCCCGCCCACCGCCCCGCCCAATGGGCACGGGGCCACGCCCACCTGATGCCAATAAGCAGAGCCCTTGTTCCGCTGCATCTGCTCCTGCATCCACTCCAGGTTGGTCTCCAGGAAGTTCTTGAGCTTCTCGCAGTAACCGACTTCGTACTCGAAGGGGCCACAGTAATTCACCACCGTGTTCACCCAGTGCATATAGATGAGCTGCGGGGCGGACGAGGTGATCGCGGGCCGGGGTGGCGCAGCAGGGCTGCTCCCCTCGAGGAGGACCCAGCCGGCCCCCCACTCGGGCTCCGATGCCTCGCCCCCACCCCAGCCTCCAAAGAGCCGAGGCGCCCTGGGAGGCCCCCTCCGCACCTTTGCTCTCCTCCCCCCGCCCCGCTCTCGTCCCTTCGGGGGCCCAGAGCCTCTGGCTGCCTCCCTCCTTTGAAAGCCTCCGCCGTTCAAAGTCTGTTCAGACTGTGCCTCTGAACAGCCTCAGACGCCCAGTCTACGTCCCCATTCAGTCAGCTACTGTTTACGCACCTACTGTGTCCCCATCCTAGGCCCCGAGGACACAGCAAGGAACTTACAACCGACATGTGGGCAAGAGAACACGTGCCCGTTCAACCGGCCCTCAGAGGCCCTCCACACCCCCGCTGCTCTGATGTCACACGAGCAAGCCTGGACCACCTTCCTGGGAGGTTAAAGACCACGCCGCCCCATCACCCCCGCTGGCAGACAGCCCATCCCCAGGCACAGGAATGAGGCCATTCTAGGTCACCCGGCTGCCCTGGCTGACCTGTCAGCTGACTGCAGAAGCCCGGGGGAGGCCGGCCAAGATCAGCCAGACCTGACCTGGAATCCCAAATCCACCCAGTGACATTCCAGCAGGGGGAGGGAAGTCCCCTAACTTGCAGCGCGACGGAGAAGTGGCCGGTTGCCCGTAGCCAGCACTGACAGCACTCTGCGTGACTCAACACGGTCGAACCCCACGGCAACTCCGTAAAGAAAACGCTACCGTGAGCATCCCTACTTTGTAGCTGCAGAAACCGAGGTACAGGCGTGCGAGGACCTTACCCGAGGTCCTCTAGGTAATGAATCAAAGAGTCAAGACTCGAACCAGGGGAAGGTGTAGATGGACCCCCACTCTGCGTTCATCTCCCTGAAATACCCTCACATTCTACTCAGCCCTCGAGGCCTCGGTAAGATGCCACCTCGACCATGCAGCCTTCCCCTACTTCCAGAAGCATTTGCCAAGCGCCTGGCCTACACCAGTCTCTGGCCTGGGTGCAGGGGACACAGCCTGGGATAGGACGCAGTGGCCAGTCACGGGAAGCCCCCCGGGCCAGTAGAGGAGGCAGCAGAACCTCTGGGCAGACAGAGGCGGGTCTGAGCGCTGGCTTCCCTGCTGATGGGCTGTGTGACCCTGGGTGAGTAATCTCCCCTCTCTGGGCCTCGGTGCGGTGTGCAGGATCAGGGAGAGAACGCGGGCAAAGCCCCGGGCACACGTCTTGGGGATTCCTTACAGGGGAGCCCTGTGGCCCTGCCCCGGCGCTCCTGGCAGGCTACGGGCCCCCCGAGAGATGGAATCAGGTCTCGTTCACCACCGAGCGCCCCAAGCAGCACAGGCCCGACCCAGCGTCTGAGCAGCCCTCCGGACATCGGGATCCCAGGAGGGCGTCCCAAAGTGCTGCTGGGGTATCACGACGAGGAGCGTGAGTTTCACAAAGGAGTGTCCCACTGCGTGCCGTCGTCTGTCGCATGCTCTTCCCTCTCGCCCCCGAGGACCTGGACGCAGCTCGGCGGCTCACTCCTTATCAAGGCCCTGTCATCGGCTCCCTGCCACTGTAGCACCATCTGGGCACTCACGCGCCAGGGGCGTTCGGCTGTTGCCACCTTAAGGCAGTTCTGAGCCCCTCAAGCGCGTCCTCGGGTCGCCCCGGGCACACCCGACGACCGGGGCCTCTGGAACCCCGGGCGTGGGCGGCCTCCGCTCTTTACTGCCCAATGATTTTCCAAAGCGGGCTTCACACCTCCACCCACGCGGGGGGCGGGGGGAATGGCTGTCACTCCATAGCCTCACCTACTTGTGACACCCGCTGACTTCCGAAATTTATGAGCGCCCTTTCACAGCGCCCCAAATCAAGTAAAGCAGATTAGTAGGTATGTTGCCTGGGGATTCATCACATGAAGTACAAGCAGGTCACCAGAAGTAAGAGAGGGGAGATAATTCGGGTGTCCGTCCACGGGCGAACAAATGAATGAAATGGGCTCTATCCACACGATACAGTATCACGTGGCCACAAGAAGGAGCGAGGCTCGATATACTTTAGAACGTGGATGCGTCTTGAAAACATGACGCCGCATAAAAGGAGCCAGACACAGGCGACCCCTCGTTCATATGAAACCTCGCTAACAACACGCGAATCTACACAGGAGGTAGATGAAGGGTTGCCCGGGGCTGGGGTGAGGGAGAGAAGGGAGGTAGGGGCACGGGGTTTCTTTCTGGGGCGATGAGAATGCTCTGGAATTTAGGGGTGACGGTTGCACAACCCCGTGACTAGACTAAAAACCACTGAATTGTGCATTTTAAAACAGTGCCTTTTACGGCATGTGAATTCTATCCCCCGTATAAGTGAATGCATGAATGGAAGTCACATTTAGGGTGACGGGTGCCTCTGGGGGCGGGGGCTGGGCCTCAAAGGTATCAGTAACAGCCTTACGTTTTAGTCTGGATGTTCGTTGGATCGTTGTGCTTCGTGACTGGGGACACGTTACGTATATTTTATACGCATCAAACGGTACCTGGCGTTAAGTTTTCCGAGAACGCACGTGAGCCCCTGCTCCCCAGTTAGGTGGAGGGCTGGGGGCAGAGGCAGGGGAGCCCCCTCTGCACACGCCTCACCTCAGAGCCCTTCAAAGCTCCCTGGGGGACACACTGGGTGGGACGGGAGGCAGGAGCCCCGGGTCCCCCCCTCCCCGCCCCCCCGGTCCGCTCTTACCTCCTCAGACACGGCGGCCTCCACCACGCCCGCCGCGTAGGCCTGCAGGCTGTCGTTATAGCGGCCGTTCGTGCGCAGCTCCAGAAAGGCCCATCTAGACGGGGAGGAGAGGGGACACCTGGTCAGCGCGGGGACAGATGCAAAGCCAGCCCCCGGCTGGGCACACGGCCATCTCTAGCGGTAAACCCTGAAAAACACAGTGAGGAACGGCCATTCACGCGAATGTCCATCAAGAGGAGTGCTGGGTCAAAGGGCACATGTTTTTTTCATTTCAATAAACACTGACAAACATCTGTCCCCCTCAAAGCCGTACCAATCCACGCCCCACCCCCCACAATCACGTCAGCCAGCGTCCGGTGAGGGCTTCCCCTGTGCCAGACGCTGTTCCAGTCACTTTTTTTTTTTTTTTTT